TGAAGAAATGGCAGGACAGATGGGACATGGATAATAGTGGAAGGAAATATTATAGTATACAGAAATTTATCAACGCACAGGGTGTGAATGGAAGGAATAGAAGGGAGGAGTCAGTTCTAACCAGGCTGAGGTTTGACCACACAGGGTTAAATAAAACATTGTTTTTGTTAGGTAAAAGTAAATCAGATGAATGTATGGAATGTAAAATCACAGAAAATGCAGAACATATATTGTTACATTGTAGGAAGTATAGGGAAGAGAGGATTAGATTAAACCAAAAGATAAGTCAGACAGGAAGGAAATGGAACCTTGAGGGTGTTTTGGGAACAACAGGAGAAGGGGTTAAAGATGCACAGGATGCTGTTGTGGAATATCTGAAGGATACAGGGGTATATTATAGGATTTAGATAGTAGTGCTATAATATTTATTTATAAAAAAAATATATATATTTTTTTTTATAATGTAAAGTGCATTGAGTGAGATATAATCCATTCTGCATACTCCGATACAGTAGGTGGCGGTATGCACCTGATAAGTCATGGTTGCAATCCGCCATAAAACTAACAGGAAGAAGCGTACGACATCACGTGACTTGATTTGATTTGACGTTTGCATCATGGCGGAAGCAGTTGTAGAAACATCATTCATGGATCCTTTCAAAGATATTCTGGTTAATTATTTAATGCCAGAAAAATGTTATGACGAGTTATTTTTACAGTTCAATCTTCTGCACGGTAGGTTCACATTTTATCAGTTTAGTAGTAACGTTATAGATAAATAGACGTTATTTCAAAGCTTATTTGCTTGTATACTTACAACGATTCAATGACAAAGTGGATTTTTCTCTTGTAAAACACCTGTCATTTTGGTAGTAACTGCATTATTCGGTTTTTTGTCGACCTTAGGGGAGATAATATTATTTAAAATTAGTCCAATAAGTTATGATCATCTATCATACAAAATATGTTTCTTAGTTATTGAGCGGTCTTTCTTAGTTATTGAACTGTAAATGTGTTTTATTCGTTTATGTTTGTATTAAACCTCGTCAGCTTCACTACCTCGCGCTTGTTAGAGGAGGCGGAGCCATATACATGTCAGTTTCTTACTGGATATCTATGTCCTCGGTAATTATCGGGGGTTTCCGTAAAAGCTGTTAAAACCTCCGACTCCTTTGGTTTTAATTAATACATGTCAAACGTAATAATAATGTCTGTTTTAAATTAATTTGCTGTGTAACTTGCATTAAAAATATGTGCCTAAACTTTCACATGCAACCACTTACAAGTCATATCGAAGCCTGACTCCCAAGTTCCTCTTTGTGATTCTCTTTAGTGGATTGTCTGAAGATTGTAATCAGCAAAGGCCTGGGCATTGGGATCATTCTTGGTTCTGTATTAGGTATGAAAAGACTCCCTCTTCATCTTTACAACACACACACACACACAAACCCAAGCTATTTTCTTCTAATACAGATATTTTGTGCATGTCTCTTCATAGTAAAACTACCTCAGATTCTAAAGCTGATTGGTGCCAGAAGTGCTGAGGGACTGAGTTTTAACTCTGTGCTACTGGAGCTGTTTGCTATCACAGGCACCATGGCCTACAGTATTGCCAACAGCTTTCCTTTCAGGTAAATCAGTAGTGACACTTTTTCATAATTGTGCTAATTGTGCTTTTTCATAAGTCTGGTACACATATGTCTATACAAACACTGTGCATTTATAAATATCAAACAACAAAGGGAAAAAACTGGTTACTAAACACATAAATATATGTGGCCCTGGAGCACAAAACCAGTCTTAAGTCGCTGGGGTATATTTGTAGCAATAGCCAACAATACGTTGTATGGGTAAAAAATTATAGATTTTTCTTTTATGCCAAAAATCATTAGGATATTAAGTAAAGATCATGTTCCATGAAGATATTTTGTACATTTCCTGCCGTAAATATATCAAAAACTTATTTTTGATTAGTAATATGCATTGCTAAGGACTTCATTTGGACAACTTTAAAGGCGATTTTCTCAATATTTCGATTTTTTTGCACCCTCAGATTCCAGATATTCAAATATGAAATACATCAATGGAAAGCTTATTTATTCAAATAATGATGTATAAATTTTAATTTGAAAAAAAATTTACCCTTAGGACTAGTTTTGTGGTCCATGGTCACATATAACATGTTTTACTGTGATTATTTTTGACAGTTCCTGGGGTGAGGCACTTTTCCTCATGATTCAAACTGTGACCATTGGTTTCCTCATACGGCACTATGGAGGAAACACCATCAAAGGTAAGTTTTAAAAAAACAAACAAAAACTGTGCTGCTGTCATTCATTTTAAATCAGAATCAGAATCAGAATGAGCTTTATTGCCAGGTATGTTTACACATACGAGGAATTTGTTTTCGTTTTGTTTCCACAGTGTAACAGAATGACAGTGACAGAACAAAAAACACAGGAGGAGGTTTGGGATGATAGTGTTAAAGGCCGAGCTGAAGTCCACGAACAGGATCCTCACATAAGTCCCTGGTCTGTCTAGATGTTGCAGAACATAATGCAGTCCCATGTTGACTGCATCGTCCACAGACCTGTTTGCTCTGTAGGCAAACTGAAGAGGATCCAGCAAGGGTCCAGTGATGTCCTTCAGGTGGGCCAACACCAGTTTTTCAAAGACTTCATGTCATAATTGTGCTAATTGTGCTTTTTCATAAGTCTGGTACACATATGTCTATACAAACACTGTGCATTTATAAATATCAAACAACAAAGGGAAAAAACTGGTTACTAAACACATAAATATATGTGGCCCTGGAGCACAAAACCAGTCTTAAGTCGCTGGGTCAAAGTTTATGATGTATCTTTTCACTGTGCTGCGATTATTTGCAGGTTTGGGGTTTCTGGCAGTCTACTTTGGTCTGTTGACAGTCCTATTCTCTCCTATGACACCAATGTCTGTTGTTACTACCATGCAAGCCTCTAATATGCCAGCCATTATCTTTGGACGGGTAAGCTAGACATAAACACCAATGCTGTTCAACAACTGACCCAGCAGAAATATATATTTCATGTAATGTGTCCAATTTTCTCTGTGTCTTCAGTTAATTCAGGCTGGTACCAACTACAGAAATGGCCACACTGGACAGCTGTCAGCTATTTCAGTGTTTCTGCTGTTTGCAGGCTCCTTAGCACGCATATTCACTACAGTGCAGGTAAAACCACTATAATGAGATGTCATACAATATTTTGGAGGACAGAAGTCTCTATTGTGAAATATTATTATAAATTAAAATGTAAAGTTGTTTTCTTTTTTAGTAGCCATTACTTATGTCTTCAGTGTCTCATGATCCTTCAGAAATCTTTATAATATGCTGATTTGATGCTCAAGTAACATTTCTTAATATTACCAAATTAGAAAACCGTTGGCAAGCCTAATATTTTTGTGGAAACCCTGTTACATTTTTTTAAAAGATTCTTTGATTAATAGAAAGTTCAACAACAGCATTTATTTGAGATTTTTTGGAACAATATATAAATCTTATCTAACTAATTTGATTAATTGAATGTATCCTTGCTGAATGAAATTATTAAAAAAGACTTATGACCTGATACGTAATGTTAGTGAAAACTATTTATGGTCCTCTTTGGATTTTGTATTTATTTCAAAACGGGTTGACATAGTTCCTTTAATAAATGCCCATTTTAATGTGTCCTCTGTACAGGAAACGGGAGATTCCCTCATGGCTGTCACCTACATCATCTCTTCTTTCTGTAATGGTGTGATCGCAGCTCAAGTCCTCTACTACTGGAACAGCAGCCCTGCCCTCAGGAAGAAGACTGAGTAGATCCGAACAACAGGCAAATTCAGCGACCACTCAGGTTGACAAAGTGCACTGGACAGCCGATTAGGGAATTAGATGTATTCTAATCAAAATGACGGTTCTTGTGAAATTGACTTACTTACCCTCAAGCCAAATTTTGGGCTACCATCCACTCCCATTATACAGCTTGGAAGAGCCAGGATGTTTTTTTTAATATAACTCCGATTGTATTCGTCTGAAAGAAGAACATCATATACATCTAGGATGGCTTGAGGGTAAGTAAATCATGGGGTAATTTTCATTTTTGGGTGAACTAACCCTTTAAGCTCTGTCCCTTGGTCACTTGTTAAAAGCATTTATTGTTAACATATCACTGCTTACAGGCAGGTACAAATACTGTATAATGCACAGATTGATGTATTCCAGGTGCCCTGAAGTGGACCAAAAAGCCAGTATGGTGAGGGGTCCTTCTATAATTCTAGAACTTTTCCCCCCATTTTATGATAGTGGACTATTTCATTCATTGGACCATTTTTTTTAGGTCAGGGAAGGGAGTAGTGTCCATAGTATTCTGGAATTCAACCATATTATAACCTTGTGTATTATTACTGACATACTGTCGTACTGCTCACTGAATATTCACTAAAATCCATGTAGCCATTTTGAATTCAACAACAAATCTGTGAAAAAAAGTCTGCCAAGATTTTTGTGCATATTAATTTCAGAATTGTAAAAATGACCAAAATACTTTAAAAGTGCACATATGAAAATATGTGTTATCACATGCTAAAGGCAGCCCTATTAGAACACGTTATCCCCACAAGGGATCATTAGTTTTTCTGTTCTGTGTAGACAAATCCAACCATATGGACACTATTTTACAAAGTGTTCCAGAACCTAGAAATGCCCATGTTGCTAGAAAAGACATTCTGTTGTATTTGACAAAACGTTTTATCTTTAGGTAATGTATAGAGTCTAGTGAATCAATTGCTGTCTAATTCTTAAATTGCAATGGTAATCTTGCAATGGTCATGCAATAGTACATGTAGCCACGCTGTTGAGTGTCATCACAACTAATGGGAACTTGGCAAAATAAGAGAAATTCACGTCAAAGCACTTTGTTTTTCTTTTTTTGTTGTAGATGGTAGTATTCACCCATCAAAAGCAAGTTTCAAGCTGTCTGCAGGTAAAAGGAAAATTTAATTTGAATGATGGGAATTGCATATTTGTACACATTATTTTTGAGAATTTATTTTCCTTTTTTGCTTGTGAACATCTGTTGTTCATTGTTAGTTTATTTCATGAATTAAATATTACAAATGACTGTGATTTACGGTTTGACCATATTTAAAGTTGCATTGTACTTTTGACCATTGAGTAAAACATTTCCATCAGATCATTTGTAGTGCTCGTTGTGTGAAAGGCTTTAAAAAAAGACAAAGTTGTAGAAAAAAAATTTCATAAACTGTTTTATTCTTATTTGAAGTTGTGTTTTTGCATTTATCCATTATGGACAGTTCAAATTGATGAACTGTGATACATACTTGTACCACCGGAGAGAGGCAAAGAGTCGATAAAAATACAATTGCTATCAGTTTTCTCCACTGGAATCTTTTACCCTACTAGCTATATCATTAATTACTTGTGTCAGTCTTTAAGTCTCCATCTGTCATCACTTTTTAAAGAGAAGTTCAGTATAAGTCAAGTAGAAAGCTTGGAAAGATACTGGCAGTACTGGTTCTGTTTCAGAAACTGTATTCAGTCGTTATTTTATAAGTCCAACTCAAGAAGTCTGAAATCTATTAGCCTGAAATCCTAATAAAAAGAATGTTTTAACTGACTACAACGAGTTGGATTTCTTCTTTCTTTCTAGAAATGCGAAAATGTGGTTAAATGTTGACAAATAAAGCCCATCAAGCCAGATGTGACTTTAAATTCTCCCAGGGCCTCTGATGTTTAATTGTGCTGTTTTAAAATGCGCTGAATATCTGGATCAGTGCTCTGTATTCTTGTATATAGTTATAGTATCTGTCATTTTCAATGCTACTTTAACTTACAACACACAATCCCTCACTGCAGTTACTTGTACTATGTAACTCATACATGACCATTATTTCTTATGTGCTTAATTCTCTCTGCTCCGTTGTAACTGGTAACATTGAGTCTCCTGTGGGTCTAGCAGAGTTGGTTGTTCTGTCTTCTAGATGCACAGAGGGAAGACAATCAAGAATGTCAGAGCAGGCAAACATAAACAGAATTTACAAAGTACTGCTTGAACAATGGTGCACTCAGACAGGTCGGCTGAATGCAAATGGCAGAAAGATAAGCTAGGCATCTAATGAGAGTGTGTATCTAAATATCAAAAGCAGTTAAAGCAAATAATTTCTCTAATATAAGCTCAAATTATAGAGTTCTATTTAACACCTCATTGTTTATGCACAAATGGTTTATAAAATGATTTATCAGAATAAATATTACATCTAATTTAGTCTAAATACTGGCAACCTATTTACAAGCATACAATTTCAAATGACATCTTTGATTACCTAACAGTAATATAGCTGATAATAAGTGTTTTGTGCCTTTATTTGAATGAGACTAAAATTAAACTAAGAATTGATGTGTGACATGAAAAGTGTGAGAAAAAAACAATGAAACAATACAGTTATAAATCATTTTAAATAAAGCAATAGATAAAACAAATTCAAAAGAATCTCCAAATCATCCATACATCCCCAAAACGCTTCTCCTTTATAAATAGGGAGTGGAATACACATAATCAAGTATCACAAAAACTAATTCTAAATAACAACAGAGATAGTTCAGAGTCATAAAGTTGGCTAGTAGAAGAAATATTTTCTGTTTCTGTTAATTGTTCAATTTTTTTAAGAGATTTAGAGATTTCATATACGTAACCATTAAAGTGAAGCATAATAGATTAGGTTCCTCTGTAAGTTCCTCTAAAGACATATTTTCTGCATGATTTCTTTGGTTGTGTTCATAATGTAGGCTTGCTCATGTTTAAATAAATGCTTAAAATTTAGCCTGCACATTCTACTTCAACTTACAGAGTCAACTCAACAACAGCATTCTGTTTGCTTTCATGTAGTGTTATTCCCGTAGACCCTGCAAAAAGCAGAAAGCATCTGATCTGATGGCTCTCTTCTCAACTCCACCCCCAACTGGAACCGGCTATTCTTGCTGATCAGCAGGGCTAGGCACAGGTCATATCAACACACCTACTGTCAATGCTCATCAGATCCCTTTTCATCAAATAGAATGTTTAGACAGTGAATTAATTTGGTTTTTGATAATCACAGTTAAAGATATAGCTAAAGATGCCAATGAATACCATTTAAGTGTAAATACCCTTATTTACACTACCATTCAAAAGTTTGGGGTCAGTACATATTTTTATTTTTTGAAATGTTAATACTTTTATTCAGCAAGGATGTATTAAACTGATCAAAAGTGACATCTATAATGTTACAAAAATCTATTAAAAAAAAAAATGGTTCTTTTAAACTTTCTATTCATCAGAGAACTTTAAAAAATGTCCACAAAAATATTAAGCAGCTCAACCATATAATAATAATATATGGTGATAATAATACGAAATGTTTTTTGAGTACCAAATCAGCACATTTGAAAGATTGTTAAATGATCATGTGTCAAAAAATTCAGCTTTGCCATGACAGGAATAAATTACATTTTTATTTATTTTATTTTTAATTGTAATAATATGTCACAATATTACCTTTTTGTAAATTAATAAATGCAGCGAGCAAAATAAATGCAGTGAACATAAAATACTTATTACAAAAGCATTAAAAAAATCGTATTTTTAAACAGTAGCGTATATAACTTATGTCAATAATATTCAGTGGAGTAAAGAAAGAGGGTTAGTTAATTAGTTAGTTAGTTAGAGAGTGGTCAGGTTTTTTTGACAGTTAAATGAATGTATCATTAAAATCCATAATGTTGGATTACACAGCTTTTTTTTTCTCAGGTCTGTTGGGAAGCCCTCAAAGTTTGGGCTCTGGTCTTATCTCACCTCACCTGAGGAGGAGACTGTTTCCCGTATCTATATCTTTTAATCAGCGGTACACACCACCACCTCCCCACCTATGTGGGGTGCTTGACAAATGCCCCATCCAGCCTATAACGGCAGATTTCATGTGTCAGACCGGTTTGTCAGAGACTCTAAACATAAACATCTTTAGCTGTCAGCTTTTTGTCAAAGTATAGACAATATAACATCATAGGTATGCCTGTTAACATTGCATGTTAACTTTGCATGCATAAAATCACAGGTGATGGATTTGTCTTTTTGGAAATAGTAATCCTGAGTATCTTGTTTCACTCTGCCTCTGTTTCACCCCACCTTGCTCTCCCTCGATTTGCTGCAAGACCAGTCTTGCCCGGGGTGTGGTGCGCTCATTAGTGTTACCTGTCAATCACTCTTTCATTGCTGCGCAAATGCTTCCTCTATTAACCACATTAACCTGACAGAAATGTACACGTGCTCCATCAAAGCCTGCCACGGCTGCTCAGAACGGTGGGCTTTGGCCTGGGGTCTCAATATTTTCTATTTTTATCAAATGCATTGATTATTTCCCCCCTACACTGTTAAAAAAAGTCCTGTAGTTTGTACAGAAAAAAACTGCCAGAATAATTGTGTAAAAATACAGTTAAAATGTAAACACATTTATAGAACAACCTGTAAATTTTACAGCATAAAACTGTAATTTATATTCATAAATAAATTACATTTTAAACTGGTAAATCCAACAGCTCTTTTCTGCTGAATTATCAAGGCCATGCTACTACTAAAACCAATTTTGCACTATATACTGATAACCACTATAATAACAAAGGTGAAAAAGATTAAGCCAGATGAAGAATCAAAATTAATCACAAGTAGACTAAAACTAAAATAATGCGATAAACATTCATTGAACAATAGGATGTAACATAAAACCCTAATATACATAACTGATAACAAAACTATTGAGAAACACAATTATTTAAAACACCAACAAATATGTTTTGAATTCTGGGATGTATACATTTTTTCCCTTTAAATGATAAGATTGCTTTGGTACAGTTAACAGAACAGACCCATTACTGTTTTCCCGTATATAGTAAGGGAACTTACTGTTAACCAATTTACATGTTTTACTGCAGCATTTAGTCTTTTAAAGTTTCAATCACTTTACAGTGTTGTGTAAAACTGGCCCTATTAAACGTTTTTAATGGGTTTGCTGAGACTAAGTTGAAGTAATAACTCATTATATTCAGCTTCCTCTTCAGCTTTTTAAAATTCATTATGACAAAAAAAAAATAATAATAATTTATAGGGGTATTTCAGTTGCCTTGTCCAAAAAAACTAATTTTACTGTGGACACTACCAGCTATGAGCTACGCAGACTACTGCTTTGGCCTTATGCCAGTCTTTTGATGTAGATATGTTTTGTTGACAAGCTGGAATCCATGTGTTTCATTTTATCTTCTTCTGAATAAATAAAGTGAAAAATGTATGAGGTACACACCTAAACCAACTTAGAATAGCATCCAAATCTTGATTTTAAAAGATAGCTCAATATACAGGATGCTGATAGATTTGGCAGAAACGTCCCACGCATATGCTGTGCAGATTTGTTGCTTTACCTTGTTTTGTTCTCTTGTATTTTACTTTTTATAGGCTACTGTTTGTCTGTGCACACAACACAACATATGTTGTGTGAAGTATACACAAACTGATTTTTCTGTTTAAACAGGTTTCATGATATTATTAGCCTATAAAATTACATTTGACATGTGGCAGACACAACATAGACTGTTATCGGATGAGTCTGGCCACCCTCCTGTTATTGCGTGACAGGCAGCGCTCGTCTAGGCTGACTCACACACATGCGTGTATACAGCCCTGGTGGCATTTCAACCAACCTTAGCGGCTCGGTTAAAAAAAAAGGAAGAAAAATTTACGCCCACTCACTCACCTGTGCATACACAACGTCTGAGGTAAGACTGACAAGTCATTTTACAAGAGAGTGATGGGTCAACACGTTTTGCTGTAGGCCTGTGGACAGATTGAAAATCAAATAAAAGCATATAGTCTGCTTGAAGAAATAGCTCACTCAAAAATGAAAATGATGACATTATTTACTCACCCTCATGTCAATCAAGCTGTTGTTTTTCTGTGAAACAGAAATGAAAACAAAAACTGAAGAATAACACTGAGAATATTAAGCTTAAGATATTTTAAGACAACCATAATGGCCATAAACAAAACACAATGACAACAAAACAAAATGAGTGTGCGAGACAAAAAGTGTTTTTTAACATTTAAACTAGCACTGGACAAAAATGTAACTGGTATGAAACACAGGCCTAGCCTACTCTACATATACATTGTATTGCCTTTGCATAATTGAAATGAAATAAAATAAAATAAAACTTTACAGTAAATTTGTCAAGTCATACCCATAATCACCAGGTTCTTCATATAATCAGTTTTTATTTCAGCTGTTGGGAAGTGAAGGCTGTGCGTGTGTGCGTGCAGGAGGGGAGCGGCTCCCTCGGAATGCATGTAAATATTACGCACCCCTCAGTTTCCACAGCAACCATTAATCTCGTTTCCGGGTTTATGACTAAATAGCTGTCAACTGATTTAAAACTTTTTTTTATTATTAATAATAATAATAATAATAATAATAAAACGCGACTTTGCAATTTAATCAGCTAAAAACATACCAAAGATATCGTGCTCATTCAATCAATTCCTTGACATCGAATTTTGGCTTTAATCTTGCAAACTGGCAACCCAACAATTTACCACGGTAACAGTTTGTTGAAGCCTCAGTGGTCGTTGCTAAGTGATTGTGTGTTTCTCAGTGGAGCATCCAGCACCCCCACCCATCTAGACACCCACAGTCGCCCTCTTAACCCCCCAAACATAGTCACAACAACAAGTCGTCTGATGATACGCCAAACAACGTGGGCTTAGTTTTCTTCCTTTAAACGTTTTTTTTTTATTATTTTTATTATAATGGATATAATGATTTACTTGATCTAACTTGGGAACACGCCTGAACTGTTATCAGGGTAAATGTAAAGTAGTCTACACGCTCTTCCCTCCCTTCGCCCTCCGATTAGCCGCAGCGAGCTCTTACATTTTCACGCTCTTCCCTCCCTTCGCCCTCCGATTAGCCGCAGCGAACTCCTACATTTTCATGAGAATGACATTAGGAGGTGAGGGGGTTAAACCCGAGGAGAAAACGGGGAGAAACGACGGCAACGCTAATTTTCCGCACAGCGGGAAGCGAGAAAGGAGAACAAAGTGGTCCAAGGGAGCCTCTCCGGATTCAGTGGCTTACTACGTACACCTGCGAGCTCAAAAGCAACGGACAATGTGCCTCCGAAACGGCCAATTACGACCGAGACAACAACCAGTTTTCAATCTGCAGAGAGAGGGTTATTCTGAGGTGGACAGTGAAAGTAGATGATTTCGCACTGAAATCGTTGATTTCTGTCGGTTTTCTACGGTGGCAGAGAAGTGCAGAGCAAATCACAATTCTGAAAACAAAATAACAAATTACAAACGCAAATGCAAGTCTAAAAAACAAAATAACAATTCAGAAAGCACAACAACAATTCAGAAAACATTATAACAAGTCAGAAAACACAATGACAAATTCGAAAACAAAATAACAAGTCAGAAAACACAACGACAAATCCGAAAACAAATTGTCTGATTTGTCGTTGTGTCTTCTGACTTGTTAATTTGTTTTCGGATTTGTCGTTGTGTTTTCTGACTTGTTTTGTTTTCGAATTTGTCATTGTGTTTTCTGACTTGTTATAATGTTTTCTGAATTGTTGTTGTGCTTTCTGAATTTTTATTTTGTTTTTTAGACTTGCATTTGCGTTTGTAATTTATTTTGTTTTCAGAATTGTGATTTGCTCTGCACTTCTCGGCCACCGTAGTTTTCTTTATATTTAACCTTCTCCTCAAACTTTTACGACACAAACCTATAATTAAAAAAGTTTTTCTATGTAAATTTAAAGGTGCACTCAGCGTTTTTTCCTCAGGCTAAAAAGTCTTAGTCTTAAAAGTTTAACAATAGCATAAAATAAATTCTTGATACATATTTAAAATAATATGCAGTCACCACATGAAATTAGTAATAAACGTGTGAGGTAGGCAACACTAAGGATTTTGGATAATGCATTTTACACTTAAGTTGTAAATTAAATAATAGTTGTAATACCAATGGTTTTATTTTACATGAAGCAGGTCACCTATCGGAGGCCACCACGTTAACATCACAAATACTAATTTAGTAAATGTAATCTTGGTAGTTATCATCAGACACTTTCACTCACATTAAATGTACCTTGGCTGACTGCAAACAGTATTCCTTTGTCCACCAATGGGACTAGTAACAAAACTGTCGCATGAAGGTCCAAAAAGACTGCCACAATGGGTACACAATTCCGGTATCATGCAACGTGGAAATTACAAAAACACTTGAATTCACAAAGATTTCAAAATAATCAAAACTTGAGACTAAATGTTGTATTGTCATTTATTCTGTAAAAACGGCCCTTATAAGAGCCAGAAAAAAAACAAACAAGAAATATACACTGTACAAAAGGAATTTACAACCAAAATTAAAACCATTTAAAAAAAATTAAACTGCAAGCTGCAAACTCACTTCAATGGCAATGTAAACTTTTTTCCATTGTGCTTAAATCACCATTTAATTAACCAAAACATTAGTAACTAACTGACCGAGCTTTGTGGCAACAATGAGTCAGACTGACTTACATATTTGACAATGCCTACACACTGTTTATGAGTTCAAAACAAATCTCAAGACCTCTTGGGGCGGGGGGGGGACGTGCCCAAAACGAACATTTCAGTCAAGACTTAATGGCGTGTTAGAATTAATAAGACCAGGTGATGTCTAACCTCCTAGTCTAACGAAGTGCATTGACTGATAGCGAAGATCAGTGCATATGAGTTTGACCCATAAGAGGGAAATGCTGAAATGCTAGATGACACAAACATTTAGCAATCTGTAAATATGCCTAAAATTGACCATTTACAGGAGTGCAATTTCCTTGTAAGGACTACAAAAAAAAAAAAAAAAAAAAAAGTTAGTTCACAAACATACGTGCACACTGGTATGGTACATATGAATTTACAGCTATTATTTGAAGTAGGAAAACAAAGCAGATAGTGACCGAATTACTTTCCTCTCTATTACAATTTGGGTAACAGTTTCAAGGACTTCTAATTAGATGAAGCAATGTTACAGCTGATCTATTTAATTTCTTGCCATTCATTTGAAGAAAGCCCTGAGATTGTCCAAAACACTTTACTATATATCAATACCCAGATTTAAAGAGACACTTAGGTCAACTTCACCCATCACACAGTTATTTCATGTGCTGGGAATCGTGCTAAATTTCACGTTGCAAATCGTGCTAAATTTACACTTCTCAAGGTCACATGGCATGTTCGTCACTGGTCATGGCAGTCATTATTGGCTGACCTGTTTTTTGGAGTTCCCAATATGCTGCCCTGTTTTGTACACCAATTAGATTTTGGATCATGATTGCCCACTGCTGCATGAACACCACATGTTCAAAAAATTGCACAGAGCACAAAAGAACGCTCTAAAAAAAAAATCTATTATCTATTTAGGAACAAAGAGGATGGCTGTGCTAGAATATGGAATGGAGAAATGAGCCGACTTAACCTTAACGTCATGAGAAGTTACGCCTGGTCAAAATGTGATAGCTGCAAAGACAAGAGACTGAAACGGCTAAATTTTCTATACAGGTTCAACAGACAACTTTAGGTCATTCAAAGCAAGGAGGTAGTAAACAATCAGAAGTGTTCAATAATCCATAAAGTCTATGCGTGGCACTACGGTCCCAATAAGGGTCCAACTAATAGGAGTTCGGGGAGCATTCCCTAAACTTCAGATATGAGTGAGGGGAACAGTTCCACCAAGATGGACTCCAGGGTAGACCCTCTGGTTTGAGGTGTCGCTGGTATCACCACCTGGAATGTACATGCTAATCATGTCCCTCAGGTCCCCTTGGAAAGCCCCACGGTGGTGGTTTGGTACTCCGGTAGGCGAATGGGATAGGGGTTCTGGTTTAACCATAGACATCACTGGACTGGGCTGCTGAGGGCTGCCACTATAGGACATTTGGCTGTGGACAAAAAAAAAAAAAGGACAAAATCATCAGGAGATCAGACAGACACCAGTGGCAAGGAGAATCTGTATCTTTCCACACATAAAACGCCTCTGCATTTGATCCCAATAATGCTGACAAGCAGATAACAGGTCTATACAGGTTAAGCCAGCTTAGTTGTGGTGACTTGGGAGACAAAATGTATAGGCAAATAGTAAATAAATGTCAGGATATGATTAAAGTTAATATATAGGCAAATCACGAATAGCCTAAATGTGCGTTTATAACGATATAAAATCTATAGACAAGTGCTGAATAGGTGTGCAGTTTTGAGGATCAAATTAAATGGCAAGTTAATTCAGCACATTAAGCACAAAAACCGTAAGTTTGAAAAAAATGCAAACTTTCTTAAACTAAATAGAAGTACTTTTACAGAGTAGAATTTCTATTAAATATTGTGTTTGATGAAAACATTTAATGAGAACGATGTAAAATGGTTTACAAATGTTTGTTTTTTCCAACTCATCACAAAGTTACGCATAATAAAATCCGAACCGGTTAACACGAATTTCTGTGCGCGTTTGCCCCACACATCTCCAGTTTGTCAAGCCACACTAAACTTAAGAATAACTAAATGCATACATTTATAAACAAAAACAAACCTGTACGAGCTGGCGCCGTTCATGTAGGTCTGTGCCGGCGGGTACTGGAGAGCTGACAGGTCATATCGGTGCAGTTGTTGCGGGTATCCGAGCGCTTCACCCTGCATTCCCATATAAGCACCGGTGTGATCCCAGCCATAGCCGTCCATTCTCGGGATCCCGCCTTGTCCATGTGCCACGGCTGATGACAACAGGTTACCGGCTGCGAGAGGATATTTACCGACTGGGTTGTCCGTCTTCATGAGGGCTTTGGTCTTGCGCCGAGGTTTGTATTTGTAGTCGGGGTATTCCTTCATGTGTACGGCCCGCAACCGTTTGGCCTCATCGATGAACGGCCGCTTCTCGGTGTCCGTTAAACGTTTCCATTCCGCACCGAGGCGTTTGCTTATCTCAGAGTTGTGCATTTTGGGGTTCTCCTGTGCCATCTTCCTCCGCTGACCCCGGGACCACACCATAAACGCATTCATGGGGCGCTTCACTTTGTCCATGGGGTCCCCGCCGGGTGGACAAGAGCTTTTTGATCCGCGATGCGCATTTCCAACCCCGCTGACCGGAGGAGACATCCCTGGACTGTTGTGGTGGGGATGAGGTTGACCCGCGGTCTTCAGCTCATGCTCCATCATGCTGTACATCATGCCACTACACACTTTGAGTTTCAATCGCTCAATGCGTAAAGCAGCCAATTAAAAGTGTCCAAGCGAACCTAATCAGGTCAAACAAATCCGGCGCAGGTGAAGGCTCTTTACAGCCGGGATTGTCTGGCCAAATCAAACGCAGCAGTGAGAAAAGCACTGCACGATGAATCAAAACATTTAGAACAAGTTTTTCAGACAAAATAAAGTAAAAAAGGGCGCGAAAAGCATTACAATCACAGCTGTTTGTCTGTCTAAACTCTGTTCAACTCTATCCACAAGCCACTTGTTGAGGCGCAATAGTTTGCAGTCCACGCTGAACCAATTCTATTCCACGTCTGACCAATCAGCGCTCAACGCAAGCCTTTGCTCATTTGCATAACAATTGTAGGGGTGTGGTATTTTACGCAGCAGATCACTTGCTGCAAGAGGTAAGCGGCACGCAAAGAGAGAGATCGGGGCTTATTTTGTTGTTTAAGATACTAATGATCTCTTTCTAGTAATTATTACATATTTCAGAAGATATGTGCATGAAACATTTTATTACACTTTAAAACGATCAAACTTTTAAAAGATAATGTTGTGTTATTTTGGACCTGCTTTATTTGAATAGCTTTCTATGACTTAATTAGTTTCACTTTACACCTTTACACTTTCTGTGTCTTCTATTGTTAGTTCTTAAGCCTGTCACCCTGGGGTCATGGGAAAAAGACTGACCTGAGATTTTTTTTTGGTGAAAACTAGCAGTGCTAGTTGTTAAAAGTGTATTATTTTAAACTGTCATTAATAATACAGGATTATAAAATAAAATAATAGTGTATTATTGTCTTATTAGTTATTACATACAGTGTAAATTGTGCTTTTGAGTGTTTTTAGTAATTGTGTTTAAATCTTGTGTGAGCTTTGTTTGTTTTCTGGGTAAATTTATGTGACCTTTTTTATGGTACACACAATATATAATTAGATAGGCTATTGTTTTCAAATCTTCATACAGCAATGTGCAATTACTGCCTTTTGATGGCAATTTATGATGTGACTTTCTGTGTGGGATTTTCAGTGTTTGTAATTGCTTGAGAAAAGGTGTGGGTGCAAAGCTTTACGTTGTTTCTTTCTCTTTTTTGTAGACACAGGTGTGAGTGCTTGTGAGTTTGCAGGTGCTTTGTGAACCATGTGAGCGGCCTCTGTTCGTGACTGACAGTTACGCCTTTATGCCAATCAAACCACAAATTGTGGGGCTTCATTCTTATATAGCCATACCCAAAAACAAAAACATTTTGGACAAACAGAAAACCTCTTACGGAGAGTGTCCAACTCGTTCTGCCATCCTCTTTCTTTGTCCCACTTGGTTTGTGACAGCACCAAGACAGCTCAGAGAGTTTCTCAGAAATGTTAAGTGTAGCCCCTACTCACAAACACAGGTCGTTCAAAGCCCTCATGTTTGCATACACATGTGCTTCACATGCCTCTCCATGACCATTGTATTGCTTTTTAAAACCAGCGTTTTTATGAGTTTGAATACGTATGCCCAAAACAAGTTACAACACAGTTGTTTTTCCTAAGCGCACACAAAAGATAACCACCCATTCAGCTGGGCTCTAAGCTGCTCAAACACTGCTACCTGAATCAACCCGTAAGGGAGAATCAACATGAGTTCTCTGACTGAACTAATTAAATACTGCGTCTAGACTGTTTTTGCTTATTTGTTCTTCTGTTGTGTTTGTGCGTGCAATTCTTTCCTGAATTGTACATTTTAAAATGAAATAATCTTTAGTTTTCTAATGTATAAGCAACTGTTTTTAATTACTATAATTCACGTTTATGGATGCAGTGTTTAAAATATGAATTTAGTGTTTTTTTATGAAAGTTAAAATGTATTCAATCAATTATATATTGTTTACATAAATTATAACTTTAGCGTCATTATTTTTAATAATTTCTGAAATATCAATTATAAATTCAATTTTAAACAATTATTTTGTATAATCTGTTATATTTAATAAATTCTATTTTAATTATATAACTTTAACACAATATATTTTATAATTTCTGAAATATAAATGATAAATTCCCAAAAACGTTGATGATCAGAATATTCCAATAACGTTTATTTAATTAGAATAAGAAAGTAATTTCATTAGACATTTTCTATTTTAACACTTTCTTGATTTGACTAACTCTACTGAGAAGTTTTGATTTTTTTTTTTTTTGTAAATAGTAAATTTA